GGCGGCAGCCCGTAAATAATTTCGCTTAGGAGCAACAGGCGCCTGACCGTGGCCCTGTGGCATCCCCAGTCCATGTAGCAGCCATAAAAGAGGGCAAGATGAGCAACTACGTGGAAAGTTGCGAGTTTACACCACATGAACCCTGCGACACTCTGGACATGCGCGGAGATGCCTTTTACTCATTGCTGTAGCTCACGGATGCAAACTGCAGTCGCCAACACACCCGCCACTGGCTGCAACTGACGAGTGCCAAGGTACCAGAAGACAAGGCTCGGAATCTCCTGGCAAGCAGGATTCGAGGGCCCCGAGACCCCTCGCAACTCCTTTGCTGATCCCTGAATTTTTTTTGCATTTCGTTGCGTCGCTGTCTTCCGGCGGAGGCTCGGGAGGCTTAGGCCGAGGACCTCGAATCCCCATGCCCCTCGAGATCCTCATATCGCTGAAACCTATTTCCTCTGCCGTCGCGGGCTTTCCTAAAAGCCAGGCCTGAGATGCCCATGGCATCAAAGATTCGCACCTCCAGGGGCTTCCGCTGAGTGGGGCAAAGTTGGAAATGACACAATCGCCACCAGGACTGATTATTAGCCTGATCACCACCCTGGCTTACCCTGATGCGCTGCCTGCCCGGCATCTGAAGCATTGGCTGCCTGTACCAGAGACACAAAACTGCCATCAAACTGGATGTATCACTCAGCACCACGATGTCGAGGGTGATGGCCATGTCCCTCATAGCCTCGAAGTATGGCATTTTAATCCATGCGGCCATGGTGTACTCGGAGCTCACGAGCCTGCCCGGGATGCTCGGGACTGCGGGGAAGCAACGACACCGCAGCTCTTGCCGTGAAACTGTCACTGTATCTCATAACTCCTATACAGCTGTCTCACTGAGGTGGTGTGGCCAGTGGGAGGTGAGAGGTTCTGGTGACAGACTGAAGCAGCAAACAACTCAGGACTGTAAACCCGCTTGACCCAGCGCGCTTCTTCGGGTTGAGCTCGAAGTGCCCGTCACCATTGAGAAGCCAAGCAGGTGCTTCCGAGCTCCACTCCACACTGCCTGGCCCAGCAGTCCAAGCGGCAGATGTCACTCCCAACTCAGCACGGTGGCAAGATTTGCACACATCACAGAGAGCCTGCAGTTCTGTCTGAGGCAGAAGATACGGCCTTGTTCTGTGGACCCGCTTGTTAAGTTCTGCGCAGCATCGAAGCTCAGGACAGCGGAGCTCGTGGGCACTTCCTGCGACAGCGTCAGCTGCGACAGCCGCCAGGACTGGCGGGCACCACAAAAAACAGCGCGCAAAGGGCCGCGCTGCTCACCACTCATGTTTGCAGAATGATGTGTTTGCACAGTCTCTCGACACGATGCCTGTAGCAAATTTAAACATACAACTGCCGAGGGACCGGGTGCAGCTCCCACTCACAGTACCCAGAGCTGCGCACCTCCTGCAGTCCAAACGGCACTGGCCAAGCAGGATAGTGCAACAAATCTTCAGGAAGCACAAGCTCCTTGCCGTCGATGGTGAAGTCCATCCACATGGCATCACAAAACTTGCCAATGTGAGGCCTCAGCCGTTGCGTGCCATAGCGGCCATGGCGGTAGCTTAGGATGGCAAAGTCGGCTTGCGGGATGCCGGCGTTACTCTTGATTTTCGGGCTTCTGTGACTGAACCTGAACTGGTCCTGGCCCTTTTATCACCACGCTAGCTTCGAAAAGGTCCCTGTGGCCTGCGGCTGTCATTCCGACTTGGATTCGGGCTCGGAGAAAGACGAGTGGCTTGTGGACGCTGGGGTCCGTCACAGGAACTTCTTCGCCATCTTCGCCCACTCTCGTTGTCTCCGTTGGCACCTGCAAGAAGTAGAGTCGTCGTGCAGTGTGGGTTTTTTGGGGCTTCGATCCCTGCCTGGCAAAGGCAGTCTGCAGAGGCGCTGCTCTTGAGGCGGGACTCCACGGTGGAGTTGAAGATGCGATCCTGGCGAAGCAAAAGATGATGGAATTCTAGGAGCACCGGAAAGGGCCGCAAGGCAAGGGCTCCTGAATTGACCAGAGGCAGTCCGGATCCTGGCTGTGGCCACACGGAGAGGCAAAACTTGCAAAGGCCAGTTCAAGAGACGGTACCGATGTCTTCGCAACTTGCTGATTGCTGAGGCATGGTGCCTTCTTTTCCTTGATGAAAGCCAACCAGGGCTGCCACATGGGATCATCTGGGACAGCAAGCAGGACAGCTTGGAGGCTTTGGGGCTTATGAGATGTGTAGCTTTGATGCTCTGCCCGGAACGGGGGACTTGAGCACATGCTCTGCAACTCTGCAGCCATGCCACTTAAGATATCCAGACTGGTCCTGGTCGGATTGGCTGGGCTCAGCGCCTGCAGCAGACCCAGCTGTGAAAAGGCAAAGACCTCTCTCTTGCGCAGATAGCAGATGCACAGAGATGCAGAGTAGATAGCTTGTGCCAGTGTAACACCCTGGACTACGAACCGCATTTGAACTGCGGGTGGGCCTGCGAATCGGCGAACGCATTCCAAGCTTCCTGTCAGTCTCAACTGTGTCACGAGCTCGCCCCCCCTAGTCAGTTACTGAACTGCCGAAAGTGACAGCTAAGTTAAATGCGTGCAAGCTGAACTGCCCCAACATATCCAAGTACGGCAGGCGCGGTCTCGGCAGAAGAGGGCAGCGCCTCGGCACCCTCAGCCAGTAGCAGCGGGTGGATCTCCGGAGGCCAAGGACCTCCCGAAGGCAAAGCTTGCAATTTGGAGGATACTTGCAGAAGAATGGATGAAGAGAGAGCCTTTTCTCTGACTTTTCGCTAGTCTGACTGGCCTGGTGGCCCTAGCGGACCTAGCTCTTTGAGTCTCGACGGCCGTCGCGGATCACACGCCGCTGCAGCCTGGCCGTGAGACCTGAATCCTCGGGGATAGTCCAACTTCCGGAGAGCAAGCCCTCTGCTTCCAAGACCTTCAGCAGCAGAGGCAAGCGCTCCGCATCCAGCAACTCTTCAGCAGATCTCCTGCGTCGCCGAAGCTCCTGGTTGCAGGTCTCCAGGAGCTCGCGGCGCGCCACGCCGTTGCTCTCTGCTTGCTGAGCAAGCAAGGACCAAGCCAAGGGATGCTCTTCGCTGAGCCTTTCCAGTCCCGCCAGCTGCTGCACCAAAGTCGCTGTCTCGGACTTCGAGAGCTCGCCGGAGCCTGTGACCATGTCCAAGAGTGCCCTCAGCAACATGCACTGCTGCTCGACGACTTGGCGCTTCTTCTGCTCTGCCTCCGCATCCTCCACCTCAGCGCGACGCCGCTCCGCCGCGACCGCCGCTCGTAAGCCGGCCATGTCCTCGCTGGCCTTCACGGCCGCACTCTCGCGAGGTAAGCTTGCGAGGAGCTGGGAGTGAGTGAAGCCGAGCGAGGCCGGCTCCTGCGCAAGCGAAGAGCAAAACTAGTAAAACTAGTCATGGCATCAAGCCGGCTTCCAATTAAGCCCGGAATACGAAGCAACAGAGAGAGAGAGAGAGAGAGAGAGAGAGAGAGAGAGAGAGAGAGAGGCAGCTCAAGATGGCGAGTCCTTGTCGCTGCGCTTGGTACCCTTGCGGCCTTTGCCGTCCTTGCCATTGCCATGATTGCCATCCTTACCGTTGCCCTTGCGAGGCTCCAGGCTCTCCAGCTCGTTGACCACGTTGTCCGCAAGCTTGGTCCAGTTCGCCTCCTCAGCCTTTGCTTGGCTCATCCTTTGATCAAGACTGTGGCATTCTCTTTCCAAGTCCTCAATGGCTTCGTGCTCTGCAGCGAGCAGAGCCTCTGCCTCGGCTACCTGCGCCGCTGCGGAGTCCCGGTCCTCCGTGGAGTCCAGGACTTCCTTGTTCCAGGCTGCTTGTGCCTGGATCAACTCGCGCAGCTCGGCTCTCAGCTCATCCTCGGAAACCTTTGCCTCCTTTGACTCCTTTGCCTTCGCCTTGGACATCAGACGTCACCATTTTTGGAGCATGCCATCCACATTGTCAATGGCAGCTACTGCTCTGAGTCTTCTACATCCATAGGATGTTTCTTGGGAATCAAGCTTCTGGCTGCATCATGCATCTTTGCAGCTTCACTACATGCTTCAGCTAGCATGACTGTTCCGTTCTAGGCGATGCGCAAGGGTGCTGCAAAGAATGGCGCTTCTTGGGCCCTGTCTCGCATGCATAAGCTGCATGTCGCGCTGAGAGCCAGTGCTTCGCACACAGTGGTGGGACGGCCACTGCATCCCAAGAGCACAGCAGCATGCTGCAGCATGCCATGTCAGCAATGGCGCAAGCGCGGCTCTTGAAGACCCTGTCGACCCATTTGAACTTTTCATGCATCCCTCGCCGGGTCCACGTCTGTTGAGGCCCCGACCAGGATATTCTTCAGTGCCGTAGGTTCGATCCAGGAGGATGATGCCATCAAAGGTGGTCTCGGCGATGAGGACGCCCACACCTCATCAAAGCGCCAAACTTAAACGTAGCACCTTGCAAATAAACAACAATAAATTGTGCTCAAACTAGTGGCTGCCTCCTTTTCACAGCATGCAGTCCTAGCAAAGAGACATACAGTCACTGCTGTGCACCTGCAGACATTTGGGAAAGAAGAGGCAGCATCGACACCATGCTAGCGTGTTTCAGCTGCTGCTGCTGTTGCTGCAAGGACACATGGACCGAAGTCGTCGCAGACCTTGCCACAGGCATTTGGGCCGACCAGCCTAATTAACGTCCGCAGCTTGGTCACCTCTGATACGGAACTACACTCACTAAACTCTTTTCGACGCTATTCAACCGACATGGCCTGCTGCATGATGGCGAGGACGGATTCCAAAGTTTTCGTTGCTCGATCACCAATGTCTCTGTACCAGACGGTTTTGTAGAACTCGTTATTCCTGCAGTGCCACTTCGCTCCAAAAGCGGGGTGCTCTGAAGCTGCAGGTGGGTCGGTCCTATCGATCAAAGCACCGTTGCCAGATGGCAAGTACCTCGGAGCCGAGACAAAGCAAGCCTTGCAAGCGTTTTCAATGAAGCTTCTGCGGCTATTGCGTTGTCCATCACTTCCCGAGGCAGGACCAACCAACGACCAATCTACATGTCGCGCAAAACGCAGAACTGCCTCTGACGGAGCCAGGATGCTTGTAGGCCGTAGGACTATCCACGGTCAGTAAGTTGGCATAACATTCGGTTTGCGACAGTACCTCAGCAGCATCTCGGGCTGGGTGCGATTACGCTGGTTTGGGTGCATCCATCCACATCCTGCTGAAGCGCTACCTGAGATTCAAGCAATGCATGCCCACGAGTATGCCAAGACACTGCATTCGCATAACAGAGGCATTTCCCCGTGTGTTCATGCCTGAGGCCAGACGATGCAACGCAACGACAACGAAGAGCCGGGCTGTGCTTGAAGTTCCTTCCCAACTTCAAGAACAATCTGATAAGCCCCACTGTTTTCATGAGGTTGGCCGTGTTGAATCAGGAGCCGAAAGACGCCCTCCGATCATCAAAACGCGAGCAAGGTTTTCTTGACTTGTGGCCCTTGGAACCGTTGATGTCTGATGCTGGGTTACCTGCACAAAGATTCCTTGGTGGTTGATAGCTCGACTTTCCTGGGAGAATGTAATCCGTCTCCGAGAGGGTTGAGTGTTAGGAGTTGGAGTTCTGCGGGGACATGGAGATATTTTGAGTCCTGAGACGATCAGAAACATGTGGGAGGGTAACCCGGGTACAGAGCTGAGCCGTCTCCCAGGAGGCTCAACAAGCCCCCAGAAGCAGCGTCGAGCTCACAGTCGAAGCCAAGGGTTCCGGCCTGATGAGGTACTGGTTGTAGGGTCGACCGTTCCCAGCGGTTTTTGACAACTCCATCTTCCAGCTGCAGTCTCCATACAGGCATTCCTCAGAATTCAGAAACATGGCGCAGAGCCCAACTGCGGAGCATTATCCGATGTTCCTCGCAGCGGAGGCTGGCTTTATGATTTACCGTACACACGGCTGATGCTGAACACTTTTCTCAACCGCTCTAAGCTTCGTTGTTGTATCCATTCCGCAAGCCTCCATCGGCATAAGTATTCACCCATCCGATACCCGCAGCACGCTCGTCCGAGAGGAAGTTCACCCTCAAGTGCGGTACAAGCAAGTGCCACAATTTGCAGTGTCTTAATGCGCCGTTGCCTCGTGTCGTTGGATCTTCCATAGTACGCGCGATACTGCAGGATGTTGCTTTCGTCCTCTGCACCTTCAATCGTAACCTGACACGGGCAAATCAATGGTGTGCCGCCCTAACACTTCGGGTAGCCGAGTCTGCAGGACAAAACAAACATAGCTCATTGGAAGCTTGATGATGTGGCTTAGACTGCCCTTGTCTGCTCTGACCCACGCATGGAGCACTCCTCAACTCTGGGCCTCGCCCAGCAGGTAGCCACGACGAACATCGGAGTCGCTGAAGACGACGGAACTTGGCGTGTATGTCGGCTTACCTGGGTCGACAAGGTAAACCGAAGCCGCCTCACGATGCGAGTAGAGTGAGGGACCAGACATCAAGATCTGTGAGACCCGACCTGGAATCTGCAAGTCCATCAGCAGAAGCACATCACCTGCCAGTCGCTGCAAGAGCATGGTGTCGGTCTCTAGCTGCTTCTTTGCATTTTTCTCAGTCTAGCCTTGCTTGGACTGTTGGGATCTGTTCTCCCTTCCAAGAGAAAAGTGAAAGCATCTCGGGCCTTGACTTGTGGTCAGATGCAAGGCCACGACGTAGAGCCCCCCGGCGGTCATGTTGCAGCCCGTGGCTTGCCACATGTAGCTGGAGCCCACCTTCCCCGGGCTGAAGTCTCAGGAACTGGGGTTGGAACCACCGGGCATCCCCGAATCCCGAGCGCGCATTCCATCGAAGCATAGGGCCTGGTGATGGCCCATGATACGGCAGCCCGGATCCAGGATCTGGCACACTCAGGAACGCTTCAAACAAGCATCATTCACGGAGGGCCCCGCAACCTAAGCCCTCAAAACAGCACACAAGGATCCCAAGATGACCGCTGCTGTCAGAAGCCCTTGTTGTAGTTCATGCGGCTGCTTGATTGGTAAAGGAGCTGGGTGGAATGCACCATGAGCTTGCTTGCCTGAGTCCACACGCTTGTCAAAGGCGTTATCACACCTTAGTTGCACAGTCCGTGTATGTAATTTCTTCGACATCGCAACAGCGGGCGGACCTCTGATTTTCACAGACGTTCAAACTTGATCAACGCACAAATTCTGTTCAATGTGTTTTCGCTGTCGCAATCCCTGTCTTGCATGCACACGGGAGCGAGGATACTCAGGGACCTGGTCCGAAAAGCTCAAATACCAGACGAGTGAAAATCCCACGTGCATCCTCCATTTCCCAGCCAGCTTGCGGCTCTTCGCCATGCCGGGGGCGACGACAGCCTGCATCGGGGTGATAGGCGAGGCTCGTTTGCACAGCTGGCATTGTGTCACAGAGACGATGCTTTGTTTCCTCCATGCTCAACTGCGATCCCCACAGCGCTCGCTTGAGACTCACTCGTTTTTGTCTCCGGGGTTTACAGTAGCAGGTGAACTTCGAGTTTGCACCAGGCGGTGTTGGGCCCATTGGGTTTGCAGAACATCTAAATTCCTCGCAAATTCTAGCGATCATGGGCAAAAGCACAAGGCTCTCAGCACGCCCGCCTCCAAGGTGCACCAGTCGCCCGAAGGATCGGACTCTTGTGTTACTGCCTCGGTTCCGCTTTGCTGATTATTGAGGCATTGAGGATCGCAGTCGTAGTCCACAGCTCAGTCTACGATGCATTCAAGGCACACAGCTGGTGAAGTTGAGGCTCAAGGAAAATCCATCTGTGCCCGGCCTGAGCACAAAGTTTTGGCGATCTGGTGGTGGAGCCGAGTCGAAAACCAGTCGGCTCAGCACAATGAGTAAGAACAAGCAGTACAAGGCACTGACTCGTCTACTCCGACACTCTGAGTCCTAGTGCTGCTGATATGATATCTAATCGTTAGCTGTCAGTATCACCGTTCCTCCTCGTTCTCCCACCACTTTCTCCTGCCAAATGCTTTTCGATGTAGCCACACGAGTACTGGCTACTCCTACTGCTACGTTCACTGCTATCGTTACTGCTAAAACTACTGTAACTACTATTTTCTACCACTACCACTGCCACTACCACTGCCACTACCACTACCACAACCACAACCACTACCATTACGACTACTACTAAAAATACTACTACTACTACTACGACGACGACGACGACTACTACTCCTCCTCCTCCTGCGGCGGCTCCTGCTGCTGCTGCTGCTGCTGCTGCTGCTACTACTGCTACTACTACTACGACTCCTGCCACTACTGCTACTACTGCGACCACCGCCACCAGCACCACCAGCACCACTCTGCCACTCCACATTGTGTGTGTCAACATTGTGTGTGTCTGCTCTTACCTCACATCTTACCATTGTGAACACAGGCAGCGCATGTGTGTTGGCAATACTGACACCATTTCCAAAACAGGCGATTATACTACTGTTGATCAACCGTACTGCCCAACCATTGAGCAGAAAGCGACTTTCTATGCGAACACACCCAGATGAGACTACATATTCAGCAGTTGCCATCGACAGCACGACGAAGGCCTGTCGGAAGATAGTGCTGTTGATAGCACTCGGTCACAGATCAATGAAAGCAACACAGAAAAAGAGGCACTGTGAGAAGTAACAAAGGATCCAAGACTAGAACGAGGAACAAACGGCAGCAGCGGAAAACACATCGTGCCCTCCAAACAAACACGAAAAAGGCAGGTCAACAGACCTCGCGGGCCTCAGCAGCACGAGTAATGCGCTGCACAATCAGAACGACGAACAACAAGTACGACGGCAATGATGCTATCCGAGACCTGTGTAACTTTTGGGGGGATATCGTGTTTATTCGCTTTTCTTGCACCAAGGCGGTCCGGGCCCGGGGTCCCGGTTCCGGGTTGCTGGGGGCGGGGTCCCGGGCAACTAGAGATGGGAAAAGCGACACTATGACTGTTGGATGATGGTGATGCTGATGCTGATCATGAGGATGGTGATGATGGTCATGGTGGTGATGATGATGATGATGGTGAGTGTGATGGTGATGGCGAGGGTGGTGATGATGATGATGGTTATGAGCTCTGGTCTTGCCGGATGACTTTCCCAAGAGCAGCGGGTCCGAGGCAAAGCCGCCAAGGCCGCTAAGCCTGGCACATGCTCCCGGAGACTGCGACACACTGGAACAATAATAGTTTCGTGTCTGCTCCTGTCTTGATGCACTGCTTCACAAAAGGCACGTGCACAGAAAGTTTGAAGAAATGTGTCGTGGTAGGAATTGCCGTTTGAGCCTTCTGCTGCCCTCTGTACTTCCTGCGACATCACCGCGCGCTTGGAAGGGAAGCTGGCCTCGCATCCACACACACGAGTTGCAGAAATCGACATGAGACAACGTGGAGTATGCTTGGGGGTCGAGGCATACACTGGCCTGTAGCCTACGCCTCATCTGTGACAGGTGTTTGACTCTGGTAAGCCACGGACCATTGACACGCTGCTCACATGGCCTGCCAGAAACCTCATGAGGCATTCAGTTGGGCTGGGGGATCGGGCTCAAACGGGAAGGTCTCCATATATCATCGGGATCCGCGAGCAGTAGCTCGTGTGCCTTCGAACAACGAGCGATTGGCTGCGCTTTCTTCACCAGTGTGCCGAACTTACAGACCCTGACTTGCTTCCAGCTGACCTTTCACAGGATCTTGTCCATACAGGCTTCTGTAGCCGAGGGACACCCCCGCCACACGCACAACAGGCCGAGGTAGCATCGACGCCTGCCAGGATAAGGCTGAAACAATCGTGATTGAATCGCTTTAGAAGTGCCCGCAGGGAAGTGATGACGGAGGATACTCACGGGAAATAGACATTCTGGACAATCCCACTGCGGGAAGTCGGGAGCAGCTCTGGAGCCGAGCCTGAAGCTGCCAGATCTCCAATCCTCATCCCAGCGAAGCCGTCCACGAGCCGCACGTCCCAGCTGCCAACGGCTCCCCTGAAGAATCTTCGGCTTTTTGCTCTGCGGCGCTTGAGCTTCGACCCAGGAACTGAACTAAGGTGCTGCCGAGCAACCAGCCAGTGCTGATGTGCACCTCCATGCTCCAAAAAGCAGCTACTAGTACTACAACGACAACACCATCTTCCCTTGCTCCGTCCCAAGGTCAGTGCTTCGTTGCTGCTTTGCTGGCCGTTTCCACAGTAGAGACCCCAGCCGGGACTCCGTGCTGTCCACGCTCAGTGGCTTCCCACCCGACCGGACCCCACCCGGTGCTCTGTCTGGGCTCGTTGCAGGCGTTCGGAGTAGTTTTCGGTAAGAAGCCGCGACATCTCGCATGGCAAGAGCGACAGCTGCCTTGCGCCTGCAGCGTTTCTTATAGCCCAGGCCGTGCAGATCGTTGCTCTGATTTGGTCAGAACGCCAGGGCTGCCACGAAAGTCACCATGCAGCTGGCAGGTGAAAGGCAGAGAATGCACAGCGGTTGGGATGCGTACTACCAAGCCTCATTGAGAAGGCTAGCCATAGAGACGCTGTCGTACCTGAGAGATGAGAGCAAAGCAACTGCCGACAGTTTGCTTTCTGCGTACCAAGGCTGTGCCGGAGCCTCAGAACCAGACCCACCATTGCGTAGACTGCGAACTACCATAACTACACTCAGATACATCTAAGCCCGAACTGCGGAAACTACAACTAAGCAGGCCCAGGCCGCCAATTTCGCGTGCTGACCAGGTTGGTGGTCAGGTAGGAGCCCTGGAGGAAGCCCATCTCCCAGAAGACCTGCGACCAAAACTCTGCCGGACAAGCCAAGAGAAAATGTATCAACTAGGCAGTGCTTTGCACATGGACCTGCAATGCGTCCGTTTCTGTTTACACATATATTAGAATCATATTATGTATACACACACCAAAAAGCACAAACACACATTGCACACACACACACACAGAGGCAAACACGCACATGTGCGCTCCATTTGCCTCGGTGTTGCGACGATGCTATGGATGCTGTTCTTACTGTTTGTCCATCGTCATTGCTTGCAGGATCTGAAAAGCCAAAGACTGTGCCCTGAAACTCTTTGACTCCGACTTGACAAGCTCCCGTTGAAGTCGGGCCTCCCCCCGTCCAACACTGAGATTGCCATCCCAGGCATAGTAGACCTTCGAATTAAACGGCCAGGCACCATGCCATGTACATGTCCGAAACATCCTAGACGGCCGGGTACAGCTCATTTCGTTATTAGCATCGGGATCGGTTTCGGAGCGAATCAGGGGCCAGAGTCAGAACAAGATGAGGATGCATGGCTGACCAGGTGCCCAGAATGTTTGCATCTCCGACGGGTCCAGCAGTGCGCCGTAGTAGTTGCCCAGCGTTTGAAGAGTTGGCTGCGTTCGCAGCACCTGATGGCAAACTGTTTTAGTAAATCTCGAAATAGGCGGCAAAAAAAGAGTCTGATGACAAAGAACCGCTTGCGACGCCCAGGCACTGATTGACCATTGTTCCAACCGCCCACTACAATCTCAAAGCCGTACCTGAGCAGACCGAGCAAAGGAGGGAGGGAGAGACAAGCAGCCCAGGCGTCGCAGCCACTGTGCCGCTACAACGAGCCCTCATGAAACCCGAAGAGAAAGCCCACAAACGCCCGGAAAACTTAACGACCTGAGCGTAGTCATTTCCGGCAGCCATCTACAAGAACAGGTTGTCCGACCCCTGTGTTGTCGTGCTTGTCCAGGAGTGACAGGAGGTGCTAGAATCTCTTGCGCGAGCATATGAACTTTAAACGGAAGAAGACCATAAGCCGAAGACAAAAGAATGCCATCAGAAGCCATCGAAGACATGGCTCTCACCAGGCTTGCCGAGGAAGATGTGCGCATCATTCGCGGCCGCAACGGAAACCAACATCTTGAGCGGCTTGCCTAAGGTGGGCTGCTGCAGAGGTTCATACGAATCCTTGTGCGAGCTAGACAGTCGGACCATCCCAGCAACAGCAAGATTTCAACAGGCTGACCAACAAGCTGTGATGTTGGCAACATTTCCATTCCGAGCTGCACGGCTGATACTTGCCGACATACAAAGCACCCGACACGTGCATAACTTGCGCTCGCAGCTCATGACGAAATCACTTCGGTACACGCTGCCTGGAGAAATGTCAGTGTTGTACAAGAACTGATACTGGAAGTACTCCGGGGTCATACGGAGTCGTCCGCCGAGTACCTGCGGCATCTGCCTAATGCGGGAGCAGATCTGTTCTACATGCTTCCTTCTGCAAGTGCATGCAATGTCTCAGGCACATCGCACAAAGTCAAAAAACTGAGGCACCAGGGCATCCGAGGACAGTGAGTCGGAATCGCAAGCGGCAAACATTTCATAGTCCTGCAGTAACTCAGCCATGGATATCCTAGTAGACACTACTGAGCCGCAGCGACGGGTAGGAACAAGGTTCGTGAGGAGAATCAGCGGCACGGCTAGCAAAAATAAGCCTATGGCCTAGAACTGAGCAGCAACCGGCTCCTCGCAGGTGTAGCCCTGGCTATCCGTCCAGGCGACTGGAGAGTCTGTACAAGTCGTGCACCTGAACAAGCAGTCTTCTCCCCTGCTCCAGTATGCAACGATACAAAAGCAGACTTTCGCGTGCCTGTCGACTGTCGTTTGTCTCTGAACCCCTCCCAGAGCCGCATCCGGGAGAAGAACTGCCTCCGGGCACCAGCCAAGCGTGCGCTCCAGCAGTGACACAAGGATGCAGATCTGCAGGGCTCGTAAGTCGTAAGCTCAAAAGATCATCCTCCCGGGTTGTCCACGCTGCAAAGCGCTGGGCACTGGTGTAAAGCCCTCTACCCCGGCAAGGCCTCCTTCGTGCAGGTCCAGCCGTCCTGAAGAGTTCATTCCATTGAGTCGAGGCTCCATGCATGGGGCCACGCTGCGCGTGGTGCACAGCGTGTGACGGCGCGGTCCCTTTGCGGGCTCTTGGAGTCCAGTGTTCTTACAACAGGCACCAGGTTCATTTGCAGCCAGCACAAAGTCACCCCGAACCCCACTGACTCGCTGTGCAAAGTGCAGCTCAACCGGCATCATGGCACCAGCCACATCGCCAATCCCCACAGAGACACAACATGGTCCTTCAACATCTTTCACACCAAATGCCACGGAGACTGAGCACGGTTTACAGCCAAACTGCACGCGGGCATGGCTCCATCACTCACTCTTGTTTAACACCAAAGAGTCGCACGCACAGCGTTTCTGAAAATGCTCATGATCTGGGACCCTCAGACGATTGAAGTCCTCTGACCTATGTGCCTTCCACAGCCCCAGTCCCTTGGTTGTGTCCGCAATAATCTGCGTCCTCCACCAAGCAGGAGCTGCTGCAGCCATCTCCATCCTAAACACGAAACAAGGTCTGGAGATAAATCATGAATCTCTGGATCGTGGACCACATTCTGGCAAAGCGAAGTCCAACCTCGGCGTTCCCATCGTCGCAGGGCTCCGGCTGGCCCGCTGCCAGGCGGGCAGAGCGAAAACAGTCCCCACAAACCTGCATCATGTCATTCCACAAGATAATTGCTAGGTGCCAGCTGGAACAAGCATCCCGATGCGGAGCATTGCTGCTCATGCAGGAAAAAGCTCGCATTGAGCTGGGCAGCGGAACAAAGTCCGTAGCCACAAAGATGGTCGCACTGGCCGGCAAGCTTACCTGCAGCCGCAGGGGTCTGTGGCGTAATTTCTTTGCGTTAGTTAGTAGGCAGCTTTGCCGGAGACCCATCTGTCAGCTACCATGACTGCTCACAGCTCATATGGTAAATGAGCCGTTGGCCGACTGCTCGCGGATGGCTTTGTGTGTAACCCATCATACTGCTACAGCCCAGCCACCACAGGTCGGGCAAAAGCTCTGTTCACATGAGAAAGAGCCACTGTCGACCATGGCCTGGCAGAAAAGGGCCAAAGACACTTCGCAACGCACCCGAAATCCCCCTTGTCCTGACATCTGTTACGGATCAGATCCGGGCATTAGCGCCTGGCACTGCCCGGTCAACCCCAGCCGCGCGTCGAGCTCGTTCTGGCATCCAGCTGGCACGAAAGGATTTTCCTTGCCAGCGGAACAGAAAAGCATTGGGCATATGTCTGACGCACAGAACGGGAAATCATACGGCGTACTCCAAACACAATATGCAGCTTCTACAAGAACACGTTGGTGCTGCAGAGAGAGTGGCTGGGCAGCAGAGATTGAGCCCACAGTGATCCTGCCAACGCGTGTTTGTGGCCATGGCAAAAGCAATCACAAATCATAAATGCTTTGTCTTGCAGCGTGGATCCCAGTCGAGGACTTGTGCACAAACGGACATAGCATGCTAGCCCTACCATGATTCAAGGTTGAGCATACCCCTCCGCTCCGGTGCCACCAATCCCACGATTCCAGCATCTGCCGAAGAATCACATACCTGAGATGCATAGACCCGATGTGGCCGAGGCAAGACAAATGAAACTGGACCCAGACGACGGCGGGCAAGTCAGGGCTCTGCGGCCACGTCCCCCCGACACATCTCTGAAGGAAACAAGCAATCACCACCAAATGGAGTAGGCTATTGGCTTACTTCCCCTTTAACGGGCGGCAGCACCGCTCAAACTGAACGCTGAGGCGCCCCAAATGGGAACTGGCCGTTCGGCAGCGAAGCTGGTGGTAGATTTCTGACAGCATCGTTTTCTCCCAGACCTGCATGATGCGAATCAGGCTACGACTCTTAGGGACACTGGGGGTGGACACTGCATCGAAACGTCCCTGCAGTCACGCGGCATCGGAGCGTTGTGTTGGAACCGAGGCAGGACGGGGCTCCGCCACAGTTGCAGTGCACCTGAGTGGCATAGCTACGGCCATCGATCTGAGAACGACACTCCACCCGGATAATAATCTGGTCCTGCTTGCTGTGGCAGTCTTTTGGGGCCACTGGTGCGTCAGCACACTCAGCTGCTGCACAACTGCACAACTATGCCTCATTGCCCTATAACCGGGCCCCACTGCATTCGTCCCGCTTCGCCCGCTTGCCGCACTTCTTGAAGGGCAGGTCTCCAAAAAAAACCCTCGACTCCCCGAAAGTTTCAGCCACGTGCATGAGGCAAGGGGCAACGCAGTCACCGCATTGGGGAATGTTGGCACAGGCCGAGGCGTCCTAGCGAGGGCGAGCTTCGAACCGAGGAACTTGGCGGGAAGGGAGTGAAGTTCGGGCTGCCTGAAACCTCCCGGCCCCGGGATTTCGCGGGTTCGGGCCCACAATTGAAAGTTAATCAAAAACATTAGGGGGGCCCTAGGGTTGTATTGGTTTTGATAGAGCCAAGATTACAGCAGTACTAATCAAATCGAAAGGACCAGAGCTTTAGGGTTTAGGCTTAGGGCTTGGGGCTTAAGGTTTAGGGCTCAAGGTTTAGGGCTCAGGGCTCAGGGCTTAGGGCTTGAGGCTTAGGGTTGTCTGCTACTGCTACAGCCGCAACGGCTGCGTGATGGACGGTCTTTGTGTCTGGCTCTCAATCCGACTCATACCCGGATGCGCCCAACCCCCCCGCAATACAAAAACCAAACCACGGGAAATCAGTTGTTATGGTAGGGGGAGGGGGGAGGGGGATTTGAAATTTTAGGGGGTAACGATTACGAATACCCGTCGAGCCTGACCGCCACTACACTCAGCTCGAAGAGCCATGACGGTTAAGGCCGGTCCTGCATGGGCCCTAATGGCCCCGCCCGTGGCGCCTGGCATGTTCCCTGAGATGCTGCCCATGGCACAAACAGCGCAAGGAGGACAGCCGCTGCTCGCATTATGCCTGAGTTGCACCCGGGTATCACCCAGTTCAGCTCGCTCTGATCTGCGGCGACACGGACATGTTGCACTTTGGATGAAGGCTGGAGAGGCACCATTATCGACATGCCCCTGTCACAACATAGTTTAGGCAAGATACATGCGCCATGCATGACCTGGTTTCAGGTTGCCTGGCGCGGCGTCCAGCAGGGCATCCTTTTCTGCCCAGCCGTAGATTTAAAAGCCTTTTAGCCGAGGTGGCTGCGGTCCGAAGACTGGAACACAGAATCTGACTGGAGCGAGGAGCCTGAATAGCCTGATTTCTGCTTTCAGCACATGCTGGCAAAGAGAAGGTACAGCAAGCTACAAGCCACCCAGGTTCTGCACACAGGCGAGGCCCTTGCTAAGCCCTGAGACTGAGAACCAGTCTGAGGCGAGTTCGAGCGGCGCCAGCGCCGGCGGCTCTTCTCCACCTTCAAAAGCAAAATCAAACCGTGGTCTCTCCTGAGATGCTGATGTGGACCATGGAAATCAGACGTCACGGGAGTCGAGTTTGTGGCCTGCTTCAGTAAATTCTCCGGCGTTTTGCGCCCGACGGATTACCTGTCAGCCGGAACCGCATGCCGAGGGAGGCGATGAAATTCGCTGCGGCCTGTCGCTTGTGAACACCTCCTGGGTCGCGATACACGAGGATGTTGTGCAGCCCACAGCCTGCAGAGCAACTCTGAGCTCAGCCCCGCAACGTCGCGACACCGCCGGCACGTGGCCTTTGCAGCCACAAACCTTCGCCTTGATGCAATCGAAGAAAGTACCTACAGAAAGAGCGAGCAGGTTTCCTGCTAACTTCAGCCAGGCTTGGCTTCCCAATTAAGGAACGGACCGATTGAGAGCAAGCCAAAGATCAGCGATGAAACAGCCAAGTCCTGTGCCATTCGATGGCCGTACCTCAATGCGAGCTCTGCAGCGGTTGTTGCACCTTCTGCACAGTGCTGGTGAATTGGGGCTAACGTGACAGCTCCGGCGTGCATGGAAAGATGTTGGCCAACAAAGGCGAAAACTGCGTGCAGCCCAGGAGCAGCCACAGCTTGGCACGCCGCCTCAATGCCAACGGAGCACCTGCACGGTCTGGAAATGGATGAACACAATACCGCAAGGCAAGTGCATCATCTTAGCACGCCTGGACGGAAGTTGCGGAAGCTACACGGCACACGGTCATGCTCCCAGGTTCCAAGTCTCATCCCAGGTGCCTGAACCTTTGAGACGGAATGCGCATTCCACCAGTTCCAGACAAAGGGAGAGCAGAGAGAACTTCCTTGGGAAAGATCTTCGGCTTTGAGGGCTTAAGATTCCGTTATGTGTTTTGACTTGTGAGCAGTGCTGGCATTTTCCACCGCATCTAAAACCCTTATCAGTTATGTGGGTTCCTTGTCAGCTGGATCTGCTTCCGTTTCTACATATAATATGATAGTCCTCTTGCTAGAGCAAGGGCTCGACAAATTGCCTGCAAGTAGTTCTCACACATGTTCGTAGTCAGGTAGCCAGTAGCCATGACATTCCTGTGCCGGTAGCAATTTTCAGGAAAGGAAGCTGCTGCAACTGCATCGCAAGGGACCTGAAGGGGAAATCCAAGAGATTCCAAGAGTCAGAAGAATGCCGATGGTAAAGGATTTCCACCAGCGCAGGCTCAGAAGCTTCCACAGGTAGCAGAACGTCTCGACCTGGAATGGATTCCGGTTCGTCGAAGGGCGCGGGCCCGTGCAATGCTCTCTGGATGCTCGAAGTGGAGGTTGGCTTTCTGTCGGGTCATAACTTTCAGCCCAAGCTGCCAAGTCAGCCAAGACCACCAGCAAGGCACTCCAACCATAGTGGAGCTCCTGTTTGGAGTCACCAAAACTTGAGGCTGGCATGCTTGGAGGCTTGAGTTCGAAGTTCTTCGAGCTCACCAGAAGAGTGCGGGTCGTAAAATCGCTTGGAGCTCTCCGACACGATGCTGATACCCACCGCAGTGCTTGCAAAACCCTGGAGCTGGAGATGTTTGGGACGTCCACCAATATTCACTCTGAAGCTATCAGATGCTATCAGAAATGCTTCCGAAGTGACGCGGTCGTCGCATCCGCACAGTTGAGACACTTGAGGTAGGACCTCGGCTCCATGATACCGAGGCCCAGCCAGGCTTTGACGGAACTGCCAGTTGACTGAATTAGCCGAGAAGCCGCACAGATGACAATCGACATGCCGACCGGAGGCATAACGACTAGGGCGATGCTGAAGGCGGATCGGAAAGTACCTGCAGCAATGTCCCACTGAGTTACATAAGGCTCACACCAACAGATGAAAGTGCTCTTATCCTTCCAGGCCTTCGAAGATCACCGTCAGCATGTGCACCTGGTAAAGCAGATACATGCAGGAACAAATCTTCCGGCTTCACTAGCTGGCTTTCAAGGGCTATTCGGACTAAGAGCTCACGGCCATGCCTTTTTGGGGGGTCCGAGTCGGGGAAGCCACCAGGCGTGCAAGGAAATTATGCAGCTCGCCGAGGACTATGCAGCTGCGTGCAATGAAGTCTTTTCCTTGGTAGGAGAAGCCTTGGGGCAATGTTCTATGCATGAGTCGGCCATGGTAAGAGTCACCGGCAGCGAGAGCACCGAGATCTCTTCTGAAGGGACTGAGCTTCAACTGCAGACCCGAAGAGCCAGCAAATAGCAAGTCAGGAGAGACTTGCTTGAAGACGAGATCCTGTGTCTGTGTGTCATGCTGGATCTGAAAGATCCCTGAAACCTGGCCTTCTGATTGAGGATGGTGTACCAGCAGCCCAGGAAAAGAGCCCGCTTCAGGACCTGCAGGGACCCTACAGACGCAGCGACAGACGATCGACAAACAGCAAGGCCAAAAGAGATTTATATATTGAAAAACACACAAACTCAAAGATAGGCAGAAAAGCAGAGGAGCCGCAGGGGAGGGGGGGGGCTGAGGGAGGCCACGGAGGCCTCCATGGAGCTGGTCCGCAAGCCCGCGCCAATGCGCAGGCGCGTGTCGGCCTTCCAAGGGAGAAAGAGTTTGAGAGAGAGAGGGAGGGAGAGAGAGCTTTGAGAGAGAGAGAGATGGTCAGAGGTGGTGTGTAGTAGCAATGATGCTATCTGCTCTTTTTTCTTGACTCTTCTCGTACGGTGGTATCCCACGTGTGTCTGAACCGGAAATTGCGCTCCCGCTACGGCGCCGCGAAGATTCTGGCTGCGACATGCTGCGACTCATGCTTCCGCCTCCTAAAGATCGGTCTCCCACAAGTGCGTGGCTTGTTCTGGGGAGCCAGGCGTACTCCAGCAGGAGTTCGGCATATGGGGCTTGACTGCTAGGCGCGCTTGCCCTGTTTGGGGTCTTTGCTGACAGACTGCTATATGCCTGTGTTCTGCAAACAGTCAGCGCGTCCGATGCGCTCAGACTGGAAGACCCCAGACCAGGCGATGGTGCCTTCTTGGGATTCTCGGCATACCAGAAAGCCCAGTGCTTGCCTGACTGAAGGCAAGACATTCCGAGTGGTAAGTTCATGCTGCTGCAACAGCTCAAACCCGACCGATGCTGTCAACTGCTAGTTAGTTGCTTCGTGGTTACCCAGTTCTGAGGACGTGCTAAATCTCTTTTCGGGCGTTCAGTTCCTGTCTGTCCATGTCCCAGGTCACACCGGAGCTTTGGTTGAAGATCTTCACCGCGAATGGCCTCCATCCTGGAAGAAGAAATCTCTCCAATCCTGGCAAAGCGACTTATATCTACAAGCTTGCGATGTAGTTTAAATCCTAGCAGCAGCCGTGTCAGCCTCGTTGAGGCACGGAGTCTCATAGCGAAGAGGCGAGGACATCTGCTCTTGAAAACTGTCCTACTGTCCTGCCACTCCTATCTGCACACTCCTTAAAGCATTCCCCGACTTCCTTCAAGTCAGACCGGAAATGGGTGTAGGCAAACCTCAGAGAAGCAGATCCAGAGGCAATGGCCACGTTGACAAATTCACAGCCAAACTGTCAGAATCTACTCTACCACCTTCACTGTTCGCTGCATCTTTCAGCATTCAATGAACCTTTGCCACCCAGGGCACTGGTACGGATTGAATACGAAAGGTGCCAGGAGCCAAGAGCCTTAATGTGGTCAGGGACAGGGACGCCGTGGCCCGGCGAGCCACAAAGAGGAGTCGAAGTCAGGCCCAATGACTCCGAGGAACAGATAGTAAGGCCGAGGGCAACGAGCCACCAGACCAGGGACTGCTCCACGGCCAGGCCACCTTCACCACCAGACAAGCTCGCTCAGTCGCGGCGTCGCGTTTTATGGCCTGCACAGAGCACCATGACCGAGGCGATCAGCAGCTGCGCTCCTCCGGGGGGATCTGCTGGCAAGTGGGTGTCTCCTATGGGAGAACGTGTTGGCTTGGCTTCTACAAGGTCTCAGCCTACAATTTGAAGACATGTTCAGACGCTCGGCCACAGACACACAAGGCACCGTCATACAGCGCCAGGGTGGCATAGTCGTTGTACAGGCCACCTCCACCACCTACCAACATCCGTTGCGCGAGTGCCAGCTAACTGCACGAAAGAAGCCCCATGGAGAGCCTGCAGTACAATTCTGTCCCGGTGCCAAAAACGTAGCTAAAATCGTAAGTCGTCATTCATACCGTAGGAATAGCAAACAAGCACAGCATGTTTCCATGTGCGCCTTTTTTCTTGTCGCCATCAACGCCTTGGCTGCACTGCTTGGATTTGACTTTGCATGGCTCCGTGTGGCAATGTAGCACCGTCATCCTGATTGAATAGGGATGGCGCGGGCTCTCCAAAGGCACAAAATTGATTTTGAAAAGCAACATACCGTTCAAGTTGAGGCTCGACGGAGGAAAGCCCGGCGCTCCGTGGGCAAGCCTCTTCCTGTTGGGAGGTACTTTGCACCTGACCAGAAACACTTAGAGCAAAGGCCTGTGAGCTGACTGGCTCGGAACCTCTGCACCTACTCCCTCCTGATAATTAGCGACAGCATGCACACTTCATCCCACAATGACTTACGCGTAAACGACAAAAAGTGGCCTCCAAGCGTGACTTCGTTGGTCAGGTAAGTGCCAATGATCTTCGCCTGGCGGATGAAGCAAGGCCTGGCTTGCCTCTAGGACTCGCATGCTTGGCATATTATCCATTCTCAAGGGTCTCTTGGATGACGGCAGTCTTGTAAGGCTCTTGAATACATCTCCCCTTGGCCGTCTCCTGCCAACGGCAAGTGCCTGGAAGATGAAATGCAACGGCGCGAGGGTAACCATCCTGGCATCGAAACGATAGCATGCGCCGTTGGCAGGAATGCAAACCGGACGAATCTAGTGTCGAGCTGCAACCTTGCGGCTACTGCAGCAACTCAGACTCCTCGCAAAAGCCTACTCGCAAGAAAATGAAAGATGCTCCGACGCTTTCAGAGTTGCAGCTCATGAATTTCAGACAGAGGCTCTGTTTGAGTATACGAAGGATGGCCGCGACCGAGCTACTCTCCAGCCAGACCTTGGCCAACTTCGGCGCAAGCACGCTTAGGGTTTTTTTTGGGTTGCAGCCTAACTGAGACAACATCTCGTCTTCTGAGAGCCTCTGGGACTCGGGCTTGCATGGCCAAGGGGGCTGTCTGCGCGACGATGAAAAGCATCAGGAGCCTGAGATGGCTCTGAGGCACAGCGGCTTCGTTTAGGACGAATGGGTCAGGTTCAAGAGCTATTCCTTTGACCAAGATGCCAGGAGTACTGGGTGATGAGCATGCGTGCGACGATTTTGGCACCAGTTTCGGACTTGTCATCTGGCGCAGGCACAGGCTCGTCATGCCGGGCTATTGCACATACATCGGCAAAAACAGTTGAAGACTGCTTGGACCTTTCGATTTGAGGACTTGGGGGCGCCAGCCTGCACTCATGGCAGGGAAATTCTGCTCCGGATCGTCGAGAACGACAAGTAGCCAAATGAAGACGAGCAGTGGAATACCTTGGTACCAGATACTGAACGAGGTGCCTGCAATCCGCGGTTACACATCAGTCTGATGCTCAACTCATGCCCAGTGTCTGCTCAGGACACCCCAGAATATTGCTGCGGCATGCCTACCTCTCATCTATCTACCATGAGCTTCCCCACCGTCTACTTATCTGCAATGATCTGGCCAGCAACTATCTCCCATATCCAGCTCAATCTGACTATCCCATTAGAATACAAATATCTGCACCGTTTTTCAGAGCCTCGTCGCCCCCCCCCCCCCCCCCCCCNNCGCCCCCCCCCCCCCCACGACCCCCCCCCATCTCACTCATTCTGTCTCGCCTCTCGATCTGACAAGGCTGTGTCTCTGTGTCTCTGTGTGTGTGTGTGTGTGTCTCTGTGTGTGAGTGTGTCT